GAGCATCGTCCTTAAAAAAAATAAAAAATAAAAAGAAGGGGGGGGGGAATAAAAAAAAGAGGATAAATTGCAAAATAGGAGCCCCCATAATTTGAGATATATGCCAAAATACCCCTGCAAGATGTGGGTGGACTCGTGGAGCGGAGCGTCCATTTGGGCCGAAATCTGTGGTATGCCCCCTGTCAGGCCGGTGGGCAAATGTGCAATCTGGACATCGCCCGTTTGGGCCTTGGCCTGTTGCAATCGGGACTTGGAAAAGTCGGCAAGTGCTGGGGCATTTTGCAAAGTTGGACGGTACCCCGTAGGGGTATATTGGAAAGATGGGGGGTCCACCTGACATCAGGGGTGTTTTGCAAAAGATTGGTTTTGTCAAAGGGGCATTCCGCCCTACCCACATCTTTAAGGGGCATTTTGGCATATATACCTCAACTTATAGGGGTATTTTTTGCAGATTATCCCCCCAAAAAAGGTCCAAAGACCCCAAACTCAAAAAAAAAAATAAAAAAAATCCAGACCTCGCCGTCGATCAATCCTCGCTCTCACACTCACCTTCGAAGTTGAGCTGGGCCACACTCGCCTGGATCCTGCGCAGCTGACCATGGGCATGGAACTGCAAAAATACAAATAACGACAAAACAGGGACAAAAATTCAATAAAATTCAACAAATCATACACCCCATAATACCCGTCGTCAACTTTTCGCTACTTAATAGTCTGAGTTTTCGCCAAAACATGGCTGCCGATCGCAGGTCATGAAACTTTCCACCTTCTCGTGCCGACTGCCAAATGCACTTGACCAAGAACCAACCTACGAGATAGAGTGGAGGAGCGTTGGATGAGGCAACTGAATGTAAGTAAGGAAGACCTGAAAAGAATGAAATGGTTCAAAATGGCAAAAGAAAAACCAGCAAAATTCGCCTCGTTGCAATGGCAGATAGAGCACCGCTGCCTTCCAACAAACGACTGGCTCATAGACAGAACTCGTCTGGAGCAAATGGGGAAAGCCCTACCCTGGTGCAGGCTGTGCACAGACGCGTTCCCGACCCGAAAAAGGCCCGAGACGATTGAGCACATATTCCTGCAGTGCCCAAGTGCTATTTGGCTATGGAGATGGTGGGACAGAATTTGGGACCAATTAGAAACGCAAACTTCATGGCCGTGGGACTGGAAAGCCCTGCTATGCGAAATATGGACCATGGAAGGGTTGGACGATTGCACTAATAATATGTTCAAGTTAGGTGGCAGGGCAGTGCTCTGGGCCCTTTGGCAAAGACGCTGTACCTACGAGATGGAACAAGTAAGACTGGAAGGTCCGGAATTCACGGACAGCATTAAACAACAGATCCAAACAGAAATTACCGCGAAATGGGAGATAGTCAAAATGCAGATTCAGACAATACTCTCAAAAAGCGACATCCAACAAAAAATTCAGAATTTCAGCTCGAGCTGGCTGGGGGGGGACAAAGGTGGAAGGATAGGAAGAGTGGAATGGAAAGGAGAACAAAAGACGGGAGGGATGGGAAAGGGACTACTGGCTATTATTCAATGACTGGTCAAAGATGGACACAGCTATCCCGATGAGATCCGCCCAAGAGTTCCCCGACTTCTTCCCCCCCCCATCAAGCAGCCTGGTAGACTTGGAATGGTATGGCAGATGATGGGTGAAAGTAGGGATGGGAATAGCCAGGTTTCAGGTGTAAAGTTGTTTGGTAGCCGTTGCAGGAAAGTCAGGTCTCAGGCTAGCAGTGATAGAGTGGTTAGTCTGCAAGTTTTGGATTGTTTTTGGCGCCTGAAGGATGAAGAGGTCCCCTCCTCCCCAAAAAAAAAAAAAATCCTGCTCAGTCAATCCCCTGTCCCCCAGGGTAATCAATGCTGGCAGGAACTCAACGACAGATTTGATGTAAATGGGACGCTGGACCCGCTTTCCAGCAGGTGTTGCTCCCCACCAATAGATGGAGCCGTCCCGGGTGGTAGTGGTGTCTGCTCTTACCAGCACCACTAACACTGATTGGGAGTCTACAAAAAAAAAAAAAAAAAAAAAAAAAAAAAAAATCCATTTAAATTTTAGATTTTAAAATGCGAAACAGCTTAAAATTTAATAAATAAATGTAATCATTGTAATCATTGTAATCAATGTAATGACCATTATGACCCGCCATAACACAGACTCAGAACACCGCTGATTTCCGAGTTTTGCATCCGGAAAAATGTATGCCTTGCTGAGATTCCAGAATGATCCCAGAATGATCCCATAATGTTCTGCTAAGTTTTCAAAGTCTGTGTGTGAGTGTGTGCTTGCTGGTCCGTGTGCCTGTCCGAGTGAGTGCACGTCCGTCTGCGTGTGTGTGTGTGTGTGTGTGGCCGGACAGGGCACTTGGGTGTTGTGAGCCCCGCAGGGCCAGTACTTACCTGCGGCCGTGACGTTGAGGGTTGCAGCGGGAAAAACACTCAAGTAGTGGGGAGTAGGCCCGCGACGCTTAAGGCAGGGGGAGAGAAATACACTAGCAGATAGGCTGGTACCAGTCAAGCAGCAGTAGATATGTCAGGAGCTGGAGGTCGAGCCGAAGAAGACAAAAGTTGGCATTTTTAGAGGCCCAGTAGCGGTAGGCTAGAGGTAGGCAGGTACCAGTCCAAGTAGCCTGAGTCTAAGGCCTCTGCGGACAATGTCAGAGCCTGCAATGATGTTTCCCTGCGAAAGGGAGGAGGTATCGGTTGCTTGGAGGCCGCGCGGCCTGGGAGTCGCCACCCAAGAGGCAAGTAGGCCGCTATGTCTCCGGGAGGAGCAAGTACCTCCTCCTTGCTTTATCCGTATAACTGTAGCTGCTGCAGAATCTGCTATTGGGCTCGCTATTCTTGTTATTACTTTTCCAATTCGTGGCACTTGTGGCATGCAAGTTTGGGAGTCATGCTGCTTGAGCGAGGCGCTGGTTCACAGAGCACTACTGCCTAGGAGGAAGGAGGAGAGCTGGGCGCTCTGCCGGACTATGGTGAGCAGCCCAGCTTGAGGAGGAGGAAGAAGGGGGGCGGAGGAGGAGAGTAGCGAGGTACCTACCTGGCGGCGGACACCATCTTCATCACCTTGTTAGGCGCTGCATCTGGAAGGCCCCAGTTGCAGAAGTGCCGCAGCACCGAGGAAGCTTCGAGGCAGAGTCAGGCATGGCGGCCTGAAGAGCAGCGTCCATAGCTGCTTTGCATTGTCTTGTGCACAGGAGGGAAGAGCCCTTAGTAGTCCGCCATAGCCTTGGCATGTGAGAGGATGGAGAAGATGGAAGCCATGGCTATGGTGGACCTACTGTTGTGCTGGCAGTAAGAGGGAACTTCCGATATCGATTCTGGTTCGACCACGCTTTGTTATTATTATTATTTTGGACAAGAATAAGATTGGTGGAGACGAGGAGGAGGAGGAGGAGAGTGGAGAGAGAAGGGGGATTTGTCATTGGTCTTGCAGGTGTACATCTTCTTCTTCTTCTTTTTGTCTTCTTTGGTCTCTATCTCTTTGCAAGTGCTTTCATTTCTTTTGCAATTGGGTGGTATTGTCTTTCCTTGTGAATTTGCACTTCGGAAATAACCAGGATCATAACATAAATAAATAAGAGAGAAATAAATAAATAAAAGAAGGCGGTGGTGGTGGTTGATCTTACCAAGTCCAAGACCACCATCGGAACAGTTTCCCTCTTCACTTCACTGATAATCGGCAGCCATTGAGTTTGCAAGCGCTCCTTGCCTACTTCCAGAGCGCTTCAATGAACCCAAAAAAAAAAAAAATCACAAATTAGAAACAATCCCCGATTCACCAGCACAATCCAACCACCCATCCCAACCACCAGACACCATCATGTCAGTCACAAGCATACCACAACAAGGCACAAAATAGGACACAGAGAGAGAGAGAGAGCCCTCCTGCATTAAACCAGCATCGGCAGAGCCTGTGAAGTCCATGAAGCAAACATTTCAGATAACCACACACACACACACACACACACACACACACACGCACACACACACAGAGAGAGAGAAACCTCCTGCGCTAACCCACCATCGGCGGGGCCAATGAAGTCCACGAAGCACACAGAGAGAGAAGGGGGAAGAGAGAGAGGGAGACAGAGACTTGAGATAAGCACACAGAGAGAAGGGGGAAGAGAGAGAGAGAGAGAGAGAGAGAGAGAGAGAGAGAGAGAGAGAGAGAGAGAGAGAGAGAGAGAGAGAAAACCCTCCTGCAGTATCCCACCATCAGCAGAGCCTGCGAGGGGCAGATAACCAGCACATCGGGCAAACGAGAAAAGAAGCATTTCCGACATGACAACAGCACATATAGCGATCTGTGTGGGAGGCCTCTGTACATGCCGCACTCAGCCCATGTGGGCGAACGGTACAACGGTACACACACCCGCATGAACTGTGTTGATAACAAGAACTAAACTCGAATCCTGGCTTCATGGACTCGGATAAATGAAATATAACTATTGTTTCTTTTTACCAGTAGGATAACTCTTGAAATATAAAATATAACTCTTCAAAATTTAAATACCTGGGCCCCGTATTTTCTTGATTATTATATATCTCCACATGAATTGGAGATTCAATCCATCATCTCAGCAAATCGATCAGATCGAGTTCGACACATCATCTCAGCAAATAGATTATGATAGCTGATTATACCTCAAGGTCTTC